ATTGACTTCCCACGATATTTTGACTGTGGCTCTCTTAATGCTAGGATGACTACATAATGTACTATCCAAATGGGTATATTGGCATTATTAGTAATTACACCACAACGGCAGATATGTCTAGAATATCTGGTCACATACTTAATGCACTGAGCTTGTACTACATGAGTGGTATTAAGATGCCTATTTCTACCCAAGCTATGTTTTCCTCGGGAGCCAGAGTGGCACTTTATTCACACTCATAGCATGCCTTTCCTTTCCTAGAATTTTGTTTCATGTGTGTTAAAGGAATGAACTTCCTAAAGCTAATACCATAAGGTCATTTTCTTCACTCAAGTACACACGGAGGGTGCCTGGCTCTGCATTCTCCACCATTCGGCTATGAGGTTAACAGATGGAAATGACAGAACCTGAGGGACAAGAACAGTTGTTTATGAGTACTTGTCAACCCTCCCCTTCTCCAGAGATTCTCAAAAGTAAAAGAGAAACTTAAAAAAGGAAACTCTCAAGTCTATAGGACAGAGCATCAGGATCATAGCTGTGATGGTGACTCCTGCTGAACCCAGGGGTAAATGTGGTTACGCTGAGTTCCTTCTCCGATGTGTTTGTTCAATCTCCTATCGAGACAGTAGAGCGTGGAGGTTATGATTGTGTGCCCTGAAGCCTAACTCAAGCATTAGAATTTGGGCCCTGCTAATTGTAAACGTTGTGTGCTTGGGTATGCTCCTTTACCTCCCCATGCCTCGGTTTTGTCAATGGGGATAACACTGTAAAATGGGGATAACACTACCTCCCTTCTTCTCCTGCTTCCTTTGCCCCCCTCTTTATCATAATTATGATCATAGAATATTTAGATTGTCCTCAAGGGCCTAGGTCTTGTTCATCTTTGTATCGTGAACATGTGGAGTAGCGAATAAATTTACTAGGCACTCAATGAATACTTGATGAATACGTGGATAAATGAATTAGTGTTATCCTCCATGCACCAAGTACTGGTTTTATTGTGTTCTGTTCTGATTAGATATGCTGTAAGTAGAGCCTTGGTTGTTCAGTCTTTTTAGGTGTCTTTTAGGGGCATACGGAGGGGGCCATTAAGGAAGGAATGAGGAGCAGGGGTGAGGATTCTCAGGGTGACAAGTGGAGGATGATATTGCCTTTGTAATGTCCTCCATTGATTGTCCAGAATTGAATGAAGTCCTTCAAAATTTTCAGAGAACAAAACAGTTTCCAACATCTCACCAAATCAATCAATGCAGTTTTAATGCTCTTTTAAAAACAATGATTCTAGGGGCGCCTGGGTGGCGCAGTCGGTTAAGCGTCCAACTTCAGCCAGGTCACGATCTCACGGTCCGTGAGTTCTAGCCCGCGTCGGGCTCTGGGCTGATGGCTCAGAGCCTGGAGCCTGTTTCCGATTCTGTGTCTCCCTCTCTCTCTGCCCCTCGCCCGTTCATGCTCTGTCTCTCTCTGTCCCAAAAATAAATAAAAAACATTGAAAAAAAAAATTAAAAACAATGATTCTAGCAGTGTTGGGTTTATAGTGACTCATTTTTTAACCCGTGAAATAAAAGAAGCAAATAAATCCACTAGGGGAGATAGTTTAGTGGTCTAAATGTCAGGTAGGAAACGGGAGCTCCCTAGAATTGCAAAGTTCAAATGACAGCCACATTGACTTACCCCTTCATCTTGTTTGCAATAAATTGCGCTTGGTATATAGTGACAAAGACTTTTGGATAAGTCTCTAAACACCCAAGGTTTGTTTGCTTTGTTTGGGACATTATAGAACTCCTGAGGCTGGTTTCTTTCTTTCTTTCTTTCTTTCTTTCTTTCTTTCTTTCTTCCTTTCTTCCTTTCTTCCTTTCTTTTCTTCCTTTCTTTTTTTCTATTAGAAAAAGATTTGCTGTAATTTGGCCCCAAATTCTGGTACTTGGCTGAAATGTTGGGAAAACAGAGAACTGGCTTTCTCCTATAGTCTATTAGACACTTAATAAAATACGTACGATTAAGAGACCTCTTTCTGCTTCCCAGAGGAGTACTTGAGACTGGGTAAGAAATAGAAGTAAAGGAATGGGGTGACAAATTTCAAGATGATGTTGTAAAAGTGGGCCTTAGTAGTATGGCTAGCAAAATAGCTCTTAGGACTTTTAAACTGACATTGAGAAGCATACAAATATTATGTTCAGTATATTTTCAGATAAAAATGTAATAACACCAGCACTTTTGCATATGGGCAAAATGAGTATAGAAGTGATTATTGGATTATTGGAGATGTAAAAAGAACTATTTCCTGCTTTAAAAAGGAGATCCAAATCTATACATAATGACTCTTGCATTTCCAAATAAGGTTAATCCAAAAAACACATTAAAAAGAGCAGGGCTTACACATCAATATACACTGATGAAATGTTTGCATTTCAAGGATTTAAAAAAAAATTCTGTACATATTCAAGCAGAAAACTTAGGTTATGTACAAAGGAACCAAAGTAAGCTCTTTCTCCTTAGTAATACTTGACTTAAGAGATAATTATGGAATTCCTACGGAGTTTGGAGTGATAAAAGGCAAGATTCAAAGATTCCAATAATATGCCATGTTGTCATTCATGAGCAAAAGCAACACAAAGATTTTCTCAGATGTGAAAATAAAGAAAATATGAACTATTTGTGAACACTTTGGATAAAATTACTTAGATTTACTCTAGAGATATTAGAAGTAAATGAGGGGCACCTGGGTGGCTCAGTCGGTTAAGCGTCCGACTTCAGCTCAGGTCACGATCTCACGGTCCGTGAGTTCGAGCCCCGCGTCGGGCTCTGGGCTGATAGCTCAGAGCCTAGAGCCTGCTTCCGGTTCTGTGTCTCCCTCTCTCTCTGCCCCTCCCCCGTTCATGCTCTGTCTCTCTCTGTCTCAAAAATAAATAAACGTTAAAAAAGAAGTAAATGAAACCGGTGGAAAAAACACATAGATAGGGGCAACTGGGTGGCTCAGCTGGTTAAGCATCTGACTTCCGCTGAGGTCATGATCTCACAGTTCATGGTTTCGAGCTCCGGGTCAGGCTCTGTGGCGACAGCTCAGTGCCTAGAGCCTGCTTCAGATTCTATGTGTCCCTCTCTCTCTCTCTGCCCTACCCCCACTTGTGCATGCATGCTCTCTATTTCAAAAATAAAATAAAAATAAACATTAACTTTTTTAGTGTTTTTAAAAACACATAAAGATGAGAATAGGAATTCAGTGAATCTTATTGAATGAATTTTATGTATATACGTATGTGTGTGTATGAGTGTGTGTGTGTCTCTTTCTCTATATATATTGACACACACACACACACACACACGCTGATACAAAAGCCAAATTGAGTACTTCTCAAATGTTGAGTAAATAAATTTTGTCAAACAAAATTGGGGAAGTGTCACATGCCTATGTACACGCCTTTGGGATCTATCATAGCATTCACGGGAAGCTCAGCCAATGACTGAGCACAGCAGGGGGCTATATTTGGGTCATTTCTGCCCAATTCTCTTGGCCCTGTGATGCTCCATGGGCTGGCGGAGAAGTTTCAGACCTGTATTGTAGCCTGAGGCTCTATTTCTAGGTGTCAGATCTGTAGGACAATACTTTTCCCTGCTTCATTTCTCTCCTTTGTCTTTCATTCAATAAACCCCTTGCACTTCTAGTTGTACCTTGGTGTCTCCTACCTGGAAGAGTGGAATTGACAATGTGTGTATGCTTGCTTGTGGTGAACTGGTAGGTGGATAATGGGCTCAGAGGTTAGAGAAACTAATAACAATTTTTTTTTAAAAAGGGGGGGCTAAGATAGGAGGCATGAAACAAAATGACAGAGGTAAGATCCAACATATTGTAAAAGTAAGACCCACCCATCTAGCTACATTATCCTCAGTTTGCTTCTTTGTAGCAGGCAGAAGATGGAAATGAAAACATTCCTATGTTCTAAATTTAGACCTCGATATCTTTGTACTATTTTGGTAAATCCTTCCACCAAGGCTTCAGAATTTTATTTTATCACACTCCCTCACCTCCATACTCACCTCCCCCCTGCCCTGGTACATAGTTTCATTCTATCTTAGAGAAGGAGGACTAAAGAAAATCCCTATTGGGCTCTGAATATCAGCTTCCAGTTTGGCCAACTTCTGACCATAGAGGAACGACAAAACAAAGCAAAGCAAAACAAAACAAAACAAAACAAACCATTCTTTTGAATATTTTGTCAGGTTTCTGCCAGGACAAACAGTAAATATTTCTGGCACTATTAAACAACCCCACGGACACAAGAGGCATCCCCAAAGAGGGTTCAAAGGATACTACCCTCCCAAGATCCAAAGATAACCAAAAGAAAGGAAGACAATTGTCTTGAGAGTTGGCAATAGTTCATACGACTCTAGCTGCAAATGAAGTACAACCTGCATTTATGTCTGACCATATTCTGGGGACCCCTAACCTGATAGATGCCAAACCAAGTTCTCGGGACACAAAAATGGGACAAACAGGAAGGTGTTTCTCCCAGCTGCCCCTGTGAGAAAAAGAATCGACCACCAATAGGTTCTGTAAAAAGCAAATTCACAAGTCACATTCAAAGATCTAATTCTTATAAATGTTTTTTTTCCCCAGCCAATCGGAATTTAGGAAAGAAGAGATAAGGTGAAATTTTACCTCTCTCCACCAGGCACCATAGAGATCTGGGAGCGCTGACTTTGGCAACAATTTCACCCTCTGCCAGCTTCTGTGCTTTCCCAGGATCCCAGGCTGCAGGCTCTGGACTCGATGGACTGTTCCAGAAGATTTCATCCTGTCGCCAGAAACTGCAGAGACAGAAAACCAATCCCCTTTTACCCTTTCTAGTTAGTACTTGGCTGAGACCCCCTTTTCTCTGGGGCACTTCTTAAATGGATAAGCTTATCTAAGAGCTTCAGAATTCTCCCAGTAATTCAAGATTAAGTTTGTTAAGGTTAAACTTACTTGTGCAGCCTTAAAACACAATTTTATTCACCTGAGGCCTCTCACTGGCTCCATTCTGACCCTGGATCCTACTCCCACTTAAATTCGGTCCGGTTTCTATGTTGGACACAGTGTGACCCCTATGGTTTCTACTTGGGACCCCATGTGAAGTCGGACCTGTCTGATGTGGGACCCAGGGGGGTATGGAACCCAGTCTGAGGCTGGATCTAGTCTGAGGCGGGACCCAGCGTGAGGTGGGAACCAGCGCGAGGTGGGTCCCGTCTGAGGCAGGACCCAGTGTGAGGTGGGACCCAAGCGTGAGGTGAGACCCAGTGTGATGTAGGACCCAGTTGGCGGTGGGACCTCGTTGGAGGTAGGACCCGGTCTGAGGTGGGAATCAGTCTGAGGTGGGACCCAGTCGGAGGTAGGACCGGGGCTGAAGAGGGACCGGCTCTGAGCTGGGGGCCCGTCTGACGTAGGACCCAGGGTGAGGTGGGACCCAGTTGGAGGTGGGACCCGGTCTGACGTGGACCCCGGTTTGACGTCGAACGCAGTCTGACGTCGGACCCACCTGACGTCGGCTCGCTCTGACGTCGGCGCTGTCTGACTCCAGCCTGAGGCCGTCCTGGTTTTGAAGTCAGCCCGGACGCCGGCCGACGGTTTCCACACCCAGCCTGGAAACCGAAACGCTCACGTGAAGCCTGAAAGCCCATGAAGGGAACGACTGCGACGCTGGGATCCCGAGACGGGGCCTCCCCGCCTGGAGAGGCAGCCAGCGAGCGGCAGGTTCGGCGGCTGGGCAGGTACGAGGGCCTTGCGGCTCGCTCCTCCAGGGGGCGTGTGTTTGTGTCTTTTCCAGTCCCCTCTTCTGACCCCAGAGCCGATACGAGGTAAACGGAGGCCTAGTAACCAACCCAAGTGTTGATTCGCTCAGAACTCGCCGCGGGCCGGGCCGTGCGAACTGGCGGACGGAAAGGGCCTGCGAGGAACTGGAGGAAGTGAAAGGGTCTTAGAGGAAGCGGGGGAGTCCTCCTCCGGGAAACGGCGGGTTGGCCATCGCGGGGTCGGGGGGGGGACCGTGGGGGCCGGCAGGGCTCTGTGGGGGCAGGCAGCCCCCCGGGAGCTGATCCCCGCGGCTCCCGATCCACCGGAGTGGGGTTCCAGTTCCGGGCGAGCAGACGCCGATCAGGCCTCGGTGGGGGCTTCGCAGAACCACGCCCTTTGGGGCCTGTTGTCTTGCTTTCAACAGACCCCGGCTCTCATATAGTAGAACGGCTATATTTTCCCCTTAATTCCTTTCTTTTTTTTTTTTTTTTAATTTGAGAGAGAGAGAGAGAGAGAGAGAGAGCACGAGCGAGCAGGGGAGGGGCAGAGAGGGAGGGAGGGAGAGAATTCCAAGCAGGCTCCACGTTCAGCACGAAACCCGATCCCAGGCTCGATCCCACCTCCCTGGGATCCTGACCTGAGAGTAGTCAAGAGTCGAGAGTGGGACAGTTAACCAGTTGAGCCGCCCAGGCGCCCCTATAGTGGAAGGGCCATTGAAAAGCCATGCATACTCATTTATCTCAGGTGCTTGAAGAGTGGGGAGAAGACATGTACAGAGAGGTGGCCGCATCATTTGTCAGAAGTGTGATCGCTGCGTTTCCTACAGATGCGGTGAGCTACTTGGCAGTTGTGTGTTGGCCTGTCCGCTGGTCTCCTTCCTTGCCCTCAAAGAGGAGTGTTTGGGATTGATGAAGATCCAGGGATTGTGGAACAGGCTGTTGGTAGATAAAATACTAAAGCCAGTGAGGCTGAGAGGTCAGAACCCCTAGACCCTCAGGTGTCATTCAGATGTCTGTTACTGTTTTCAAGTCTGTTCAGCATCATCTCCCATCCCCCCTGTCTCTGTCTCTATCTCTTTGTCTCTATCTCCTTGTCTCTGTCTCCATCGTCAGTGCAGCTAGAAGCAAAGGGCTCCAAAGGTGGCAGGACCATAGGACAGAAGGAATCCAGACCCATGAGCCAATTGGGGGAGGGGTGCCCAGGGCCATCAGCAGTGGACACTGCATGCGTGAGAGAGAAATCTTTGTTGGGCTAAGCCACTGATGTGCAGAGGGTTGTTTATATCAGAAGCTAGTAGTAACTATTGTAACGCAAGTCTCAAATCTGTGGCTCTTTACGTTGATGCAAATAAAGGAATACACGTTTTAAACATTATTCATTTTCACCATTTCAATTTTACTCTTTCTCTGTAGGAATAGGATGAGCTCCCATCCACCCACCCTCTCCTTAAGAGAGATTATTTGGGTTCTTTGGATGGATCAGATCCCATTTGATGCCAGTTTTGTTACAAACAATTCTCCCTGCAGAATGCCATCACGGGAGCAGAGAATTGGGATTTGAAAAATTAAGTCTGTTTTATAACAAAAGGTCAGCAGTGAGGATCAGATGAGTTTGAATTCTTTTTCCCTGAGTACAGGTTTTATGTGAATATGTTTTAATGTGTAGTCTTAGACCATCCATCGCCAAATATCCAAAGAAAATAGAGAAATTTAGTTGGTGGCATAGTGAGATTTTTCCAGGTTGTTCAATTCTGTATAAAGAAAACTATTTGAACATTTACTGAATCAGTTTTCTGTCAACATTTTGGAATAATATAGACAATGCTTTCATTGGTCTCTCAGGTAAGGGCTGAAAAAAATATTAGGCCACAGAAGTAATTTAGTTTTCACTTTCTCCTTTCTCCAGGAAAAAAAAAATAGTGCATAAAATGTACAAAGTCAGCATTTGTTGTTATTTGCCAGAAATTATCATTCTTCTCTCTAGGAAAATTGTCCCAGAACTTAACCCCTACAGAGTGGTCAAAACTAAGAATTGACATGCTGAAGAATTTAGGACGCTATATAAATCATGACATTCAGTCTCTTCTCGTTGATATGAACCTGCTGAATCACAAACCCAGGTCTCCTATGGAATTGTATCTCACGTGGCTGCTTCTGTAGGTCGTCTCTTTATCCTTTGGGTTTTACATAGAAGTGCTCTTAGCTGTTAAGTTCTCTCTCAGTCCTGGTGCACAGAGTTGGATTAATGCCTCTGCACGTGTTGGTAGAGATTCAGCACACTTGCTTATCTCTGCATATTATTCCATACCAGACTGGGCTTTGGAAGATGCTTTGGTAGAACTTGGTAAGGAATATATATTCTTTTTTTTTTTTTTAATTTTTTTTTTTTCCCAACGTTTATTTATTTTTGGGACAGAGAGAGAACAGAGCATGAATGGGGGAGGGGCAGAGAGAGAGGGAGACACAGAATCGGAAACAGGCTCCAGGCTCCGAGCCGTCCGCCCAGAGCCCGACGCGGGGCTCGAACTCACGGACCGCGAGATCGTGACCTGGCTGAAGTCGGACGCTTAACCGACTGCGCCACCCAGGCGCCCCAGGAATATATATTCTTTTAATGAACGAAGGAATAAATTACTATCGTACCACGTTCGGGCTTGCTGAGGTCTGTTTAATTGTGAGGGCAAATGAAAGAGCTGTAGAATACCCGAATTATTGGCGACCAGATGTCAAGTGCTGCCATGTAGGGCCTGCTGATTGCATAACAGCCACTAACGAAATGTAAAGGTCATCTCCCCTTTTGCCATAACATTATGATCAAAAACACGAACCCATGCTTTTAAAAATAACTCCTTTGGCACTGAGGGGGACAGAAGAAAGAATAAGAAAGCAGAGTCAAAGTTTCACTGCTCTTCCTGCCAATATATACAAACCCACATCCAAAACACATCTCATTTACATGCCTGTTTATTTTGTTTTCATGGCTGTCTGGAAGCTGGGACCTTTCCTTTTCTATAAACTGAGACAAAGAGTTATAAAGATAAACTCTGACCCTGCCTAGCTCCCCATAATGTCTGGCCCTACCATCTTCACCTGGGCAAATATTCTTATCACTAAGGGCCTTGGTGTATGTGTAGGTGTATTACCAAAAATTTAGAAAGCATAGCACGAGTTTTTTTGTTTACAAATTTTGAATTGGTAGTTTTTGCTCTAAGCATTACACATTCTTCTTGGTTTTAGGAAGATTTGAAGGAGGTGGAAGAAACATAGCTGGAGTCGAAATAATTTCATAGAAACATAAACTTTAGATTTACAGAAATTTTAGAGTAGTAATTATTGGTAGGTTTTTGCTATTACTGTTGTCATTATAAAGCACTTATTCTGGGACACCTGGGTGGCTCAGTCGGTTAAGTGTCCAACTTCGGCTCAGGTCATGGTCTCGTGGTTTGTGCGTTTGAGCCCTGCATCAGGCTCTGTGCTGATGGCTTGGACCCTGGGGCCTGCTTCCGATTCTGTCTCCCTCTCCCCCTCCCTCCTCTCCCTCTCTCTTTCTCTCAAACATAAATAAACATGAAAAAAATGGGGAAAAAAAAACCAATTATTCTGTGTCAGGGATTACTCTATGTACTTTATACATATTTCATCCTAATAACAATCCTCCAAGGTAGGTACTGTTATTTCCCCCTTGTACATATGAAGAACCTGAGGCTCAGAGAGCTTAAGATACTTGTCCAAGGCCACAAGGCATGTAAGTGGAAGAGCCTGGTTTGAGTTCACCACCTGCTCATTCCCCAGATTCCTTTTGTCATGAAATCCTCTCTTTGTAAACTGGGTGCCACATCCTTTTGAATATATAATGTTTGATCACAATCTTTCTTTAATGAGGTTTATTTCCCAGTGTTGAGCTACTGTCATCGCTGAAGGCACCTACCCATTCCTCAGACCCTACTGCGCATTAGGCTGGGTCTTAGCAGTAGGGGATTTTGAGAAATTGAATCCTCCTAAAATCAGTTCCCTATTTGATGGCACACCGTTTTGTCCCCTTGAGTTACTGCTTTCTCTCTCACATTCTGCTGGTTTGAAAGGGATGCATTCACTTCCCATCCCATTTTAGATCATGTCGGGGGCTTATTTTTCTTTTCTCAACTACTCCCTTCCTTTCTTAAGTAAAAATGCTAGAGATTTGAGTGGAAGTTGAAAAGGTCTTACGGAGAATAACAACAAGGAGGCCCAGCACTGCCTCACTGAGTGAGAAAAATACTCTGGTGAAAGATTTTATATTTTTCAAGAAGAATAAGAAATCTCCACATAAATCTCTGCAAACTTAGCCTTGAACACAAAGTAGAAAAGAGCTTTGAAAATGGGCTTCAAACCGGGCATAACCAACAACCTGTGCGTGCAATGATTCATTCTGGAATTGTTCTGCTGAAATGTAAACTCAGCGGTGAAATGGATGCTGCATGCTTTGGGGTTCTTAGCCAGATCCCGTCTACCGTCTGGAAGAAGGAGGCCACAAACAAAGTGATACTACTTTGTTGTAAAATAAACAGTCCCCCAAGGGCTTCCAAATGAAACAGGCTCTTTATTTTCTATGCCTGCAGTTTCCCACATCCATGGCAGAGCTTCCCATTCAAGTAAACAGAACACCTTCTTCCTTTGTGTTGCTTTTAGAATAGACTGGTCCAAACCGTCTGAACTCATAAGAGCTGATAACTACCGATCTATCTGGTGCCATCCTTTACAATTTTCTCCTTGGAACTGCATAATCCCTCTGTTTTTCAATTTTTCTCCTATTCTTCATAGACCCTTGTGCTTTTATCTTTGCACTCACTGCTCTATCCTCCTTCTTCTTTTAAGTTTATTTATTTTGAGAGAAAGAGAGAGAGAGAGAGCAGGGGAGGGGCAGAGAGAGAGGGAGAGGGAGAGAGAATATCCTTCTGAAATTGGTGGTTCCTGCCATGCTTCTGTTTTATTCTTCACATGGCTACTTCCCCTCATCAGCCTAGATCTTGTCTAACCCTAGCAAGCTTTTATCCTGGCTCGGGTGCCCTTGAGGACGTTTTCCTTTTCTCAGGTTTATCTTACCACATGTGGCCATTAGTATGTGAGCATTTAATTGATCAAGTCAGGACACTCTTCCCAAAGAGGGAGCTATTAATAAGTATGCTGAGACAACACACATAAATCAGGACTGTCCAGGGGAAACTGGCCTGTCTTGTCAACTATTTTGGAATTTTTTTGTTGAGTTGAATACTCCCTGCCCAACCTCCCGATTATAACTTACAGAAGAGGAAGAACCTCATTTTTGAATCTTGTTTTCTGCTTATTTCCTAAATTGTGCTATCTCATTGCTTAATGCATAATTGGAGATAAATATAATAACAATTGCATGTCACAGCAAATATATGTATAAATACATAAAAGTATGTACATACGAAATAGAAAAATAATATATTTATAAACAAGTTTGTGATGGTAGAATACAAAATTATGTGTGTCTGTGCCAACTGTCTGTCAGGCAGTGAGATAGCTACCATAAACTGAAATACTGATTTTTATAATTCTCATCTTACAGTGAGGCATAAAGAAGTCAAGTGAAGAGCTAAGATTCAGTTTCCAGTCAGATGGTAAACCATGCATTTCAGTTGTGCTCTTTCCAAGAGTCATGTTAACACATTCCCTTTGTTTTGTCCTCTTAACTCCACTGGGCCCAGTAGCCAATACAGGTCATTATTTATGTGACTTATAATTATGCCAAATAGCAAGAAGAGGAGAGAACAAAATGAAAATAAAATATTTCTTTTTGGTAAGGTTAGGGGAGGTGTTGAGGAAAAAAGAAAAAAAAAATAGACTAGATGTGTTTGAAGGAAAGTGTGTTTCTGGCCAGGAATTGGTGATTAGGATCAAGCCATTTGAAATTCTTCACGGAGTTTGGACAAACACACATGCATCATCTAACACTAACACCATCGATATGACTTTTATTTCTGTTTCCAGCTGAGAGAGTCATTACTGTGATCTGTGGGACATTCTATACATGAGCTGATACTTCTCTTCCTTCTCCTCAGTCTCTAAGGTAAGATAAGTTCACACAGAACTTTAAGAAATCTAAACAGTGGCATTTGTGTCAAATAACTTTTACCTTCATAGCTTCTGACTCTGGCTGCTTTCAACATATCAGGATTCTGTTCTGCTTTGTCTTTCTAGTTTGTGTTGAGTGGTGTTTGTGCTCTGCTCTTAAGACAAAATACATGCCTGAAGCCTGTCTTGCTTCCTTTATTACTGTTAAGTTATATGTCGTCCATGCGTTAGAACTTTTTTCCTTTTTTTTTGGTTTTCCGCTTTATTAAATGTGTTATGACTTCCCATTATAGCACACCATAACCTGATTGGTAGAAACTGTGGTTGTCTGGTGCCAAGAATAACCAAATATGGCTCCGAATATCAATCTGGTATAATCCCAGGGCAAGCCACACTGGAAACTGAATACGCTCGAAGTCATCGCTCTTTTAGTCCCAGGGAACAGGAGAGGGTTATGGGGAGTGGCGGTGGGTGGACTGACTCCCCGCAGGGTCTCATAAGTAAGAATTTGCCTATAGAGGTAATATTTAGGGGGCAGTCTCGGTCATTCAGCATTAGTGTTTCACAGCTTCTAGGCCACTTGCTAAGTGTTGTATTTCTGCTGCAAACTGGAGTAGAACATATTAAAGAATAATTTACACAGTTGAGAAATCCATGATATCTCCCAAGGATGGGGTATACTTTAGAGTTCAGATTACTTTTTAAAGAATTCCATTTTAATTACAGTTGGAGACTTCATTGCCATTTTGGGATAAAAGACTCAATTTTAAGTCACTAGAGGTTTGTATACTGGAGTTATTATCTACTTTCCAAAACAGCAAGTTTTTATTTTGCTACAGTTTAATTTTAATCTCTTTGACATTAAAACTTTGGCATTTTTTTATTCTTAATTTTTTTTTTTTTTTTTCTTTTTTTTTTTTTTTTTTTTTTTTTGCTTGTTTGTTTTGCTTTTTGTCAAAGGTAGAACATTCTGGGCTTTTTATTTTTTATATTTTTTTAAATATTTATTTTTGAGAGAGAAAGAGTGTGGGAGTGCATGTGTACGAGTCAGGGAGGGGTGAGAGGGGGCTAGGGAGAGGATCTGAAGCAGGCTCTGTGCTGACAGCAGAGAGCCCAATGCGGGGTTTGAACCCACCTGACGTGAGCTGAAGTCAGACACCCAGGCACCTCTAGATCATTCTAAACTCTTTAAAGATTAGCAAATTATGCTACCTTAAAACATAAAGGAGAAGCCTTTGGCTATTCTATTTAGTGCTTTGATTTTGTGAACTTTCTCTCAGTTTCTTTGCACAAAGTTACCCAATCCTCCAGGCAAAGTTTTTCAATTATTATTATTAGTAGTAGTACCTGTAGTTCCTAGAAGTCCAAGATATCCACAGTAGTTCAGACATATTTAGATGTTGGTCAAAAGCAAATAGTTATACTCTATGTAAGTCATTATTATTCCCTAAAGCCACTAACATGAAAATTATCATCTGCAAACAAACAGAATAAAAGCAGGAACAAAAAGATGGGGCAGGTGTCAAGGCTTACCATGTGTTGGAAACTCTTTGGAGAACTCTGGATACGAGGATGAATAAAATATAATTCCTAAGCTTGAAAAATTCACAGCCTGGTGGAGAGGCAAAGATAAACAAAGAACTATAATTCAATGCAATGTGCTCTACAAATGAGACATATGCAAAACTCTATTAGCATATAGGTGAAGGAGAAACTGATTTTTTCTGAGGATGTTCGGGACAGTTGTGGAAAAAAAAATTGAGCTAGACATTGGAGGATGAGTTTATTTTCCAGGTAGACAGGTGAGGCAAGTCATTCCTGAGAGTGGAAAAAAGTCCCCTGGACATGTATATGGCACCCTTATACCAAAGGACTTACATAGGATGCAGAGGAGTTTAAATTTTGAATGACCAGATCAGATATCCTAGGACAGTGAAGAGACACCTGACCAGAGAATCAGGCTACATGGGTGCAAGTCTTGATTCTGCCATTAGCAGGACAGTATCACTTGAGGAAAGTGCTTTACCTTTCTTGCCTCCAAAATGAGGTGATTTTTGCGGCACAAAAATTCTAATTCATAGGTTAAGGCTAATGTTTCATCCAGAGAGACACTGAGTTAGAAAATGAGTTTTGTTTGCCTCCAAAACCAGAAATGTATTTAATTCCTATTCTAGTAGTAGTGCTTCGGCTTATAAATAGGACTGAATTTATATGGTGTAATCAAGCAGGGGACTTGATATATAGGCTGACAATCTATAAATACCCTGAGCAAAATATTATAAATGAAGAATGGGAAATTGCATCCTCCAAAATTGGTAAGAGTAGAAATAATGGCCTGAGACAAAGGATAGGACTATTTTTTTAGACTAGACTTAAAAGTATTTCTAATCTTTGAGAGCATCTGGGCTGTGTTGCAGACTCCCTGGAGGGTGTGGGAAGGGCTTCCCTGAGACGCTCAAGGGCAGGCAGGCGAGCCAGTGAAATGTGGAAGAAGAAGGAGGAGTCGAAGTAATAATAAGCAGGCCATGGCAGTAATTTGCAACCTGGAGTGGGGGAACAATGGGCCTCGAGAAGCTCAGAGCTGACGCTGTCTTGCTGGTTTCCAGCCACCCACTGCACTCTGCACTGGACTAACACTCCCAGGGGCATAGGCCTCAGGGCTCCTCACTGTTTTTTAGGAAAGTGCCATTTACTTAGCATCCACTGTATATTTGCCACCATTGTACTCACCCGACACATTCAGGAAAGCTTTGAGAAAGAGGAGGGGAACTAACCCATGTTGACGAGTATTGGACACTTACTACTTACCGCAGGCTGTGGCCTGTGCTGTAACAAACAAGATCTCATTTAAATCTCAGCAGCCTTCTGAAGTGTTATGTAATTATTACATCCCTCCTCTTCATGTGATATGAGGAACCTGAAGCACAGAAAGGGTAAATAAAGCTGCCCAAGGGGGGCAGTCAACATTTGAAACTAGAACTCTCCACTCGAAAGGCCACTCCTTGCTGCAACATCCTAGGATGGTATTGTCAACCAGTTCCCTACAAGTTTGGTTTCTCACTGGGTCATTGCTTGTGATCGGGAGGAAGATTTTCCTTAATAAAAATGCTCCATCTGAATCTGTTCCTGCAGGTGGTAGAGACACAGCCTGTAGTGGCTGACACATGACCAGTGGAAGGCTGTCCATTATTCTTTCTTTCTTCAGTTAAGGCTCTGAATTGGATCCAGCTGTTCTTTGTTGCAAAGGCCAAAAGACCTCAATATCCTGCTCTTTGTTTTCCTGGAAGTTATTGGCTATTGTTAGCCATGAAGGCCAGGTTGGAACCCCTTAAAGAACTAAAATGTTGGGAGACAGGTACTAGGGAGCAAGGTCTTAGAATAGCAGAGATGATGGTATTTCAAGACCAAGCCTCAGTTTCTGGTCTGGCAAAAGCCATGTGTTGACCCCACGGGAAAAAAAATCTGTAAATAGACCTGAGGAAAGAAGCCAACTGGATTCTTCTCACCCTTCACTTAGAACAAATAATAATGTAGTAATTTTAATACTTCTTATCATGTATTCATTGTTGCATGCTAAATACTGTGCTAAAAGCTGTTTGTGAGCACCATCATCATTTTTAGCTCTAACATTTACTGAGCACTTCTTAGGCACCATGCTCTTGTGCTAAGTATTTAAAGCTTTGCCGTTCTGTAAGGCAAACACTGATATAGTCCTCATTTTTGAGGCATAGATACTGAACCTTAGGTTTACTTTTCCAATGCACCGTAATTAGCTAATGACAGAAATAGGGAACTAGAGTATGTATGTTTACTGAGATTCTCAAAGGACTAGAAATCGGTTACAATAAGATTAAAAAGAAAGCGACAGGGAAAGAGCGGAATTACTGCAAGGACTGAGAAATCTGTCACCTTCTTATACCACGCCAGCATTATCCCACTGCCTCTTGTAGCAACTGTTTTCTCTTTTTATCTTCTGGCTTTACGGCCAGAGGGGGCTGACCATTTGGATGGGCACAATCGTAAGCATGTCTAGAAATGAATTCCCAAATTTCCTACTAAATAGCAACTCCAGTGTGATGACCAAACACAAGCTTGGTCAGGCAGTACCTTTATGGATCAGCTTGGTCAGAATAAGAAACTCACTCACAACTAAACTTGGAACTCAAAAGAGATTTTCATCCTCCAAATGTCAGATGTGATAGAGGGCTGTTGGTGAGTCACTCCCTTTTTCAAGAATAGAGGCATAATTCCCAGTGGAATAATGAGCTTCAGCCCACTGGCGCCCAAGGAGCTAACACAGTGGGCAGATGTCCGAACTCTACTGGCCATGTCCCAGATGCAAACAATAGAACACTGGCCAACTTCTACTAAAGAGGATTTCTGAAGCCATGGTATTGCCTTGGCCCGCCAAAAATGCATTACAAGACCACGGTTGCCCACAATAGTCTCACTTCATAAAGAAGGAAAGGCTTGGGGAGGGGAAGTAACGTGAGCTTATATTCTCTGATGGAGTTTGAGGAAAAGTGCTCAGAAATTTTGCCTCTTTGCCCTTTTAGATGATGGATTGCTTCAGTTTTATGAAATGCTGGGGCTAAATCCCTTCAAGGTTGGGTCTACATGAATATTAATTGGTCCTGAGTAAGAAGAGTGAGGCCTTGCTCATTGCCAGTTTGGGGCAGTCCTCATCAGTGGTCTTTTCCAGACTCTTTCTTTTAAAGGAGATCTTTTTGGTGGGGGGAAGGAAACTCCGAGAGTTCCATTTGGGAAGGAGATTTTTTTAAAGCTTTCCATAGTTGTCAGTAATTCTGTTCCTTAAAAACTGCATCATGTTAAAGGACTATAATGACATTGGGTTGTCTAAGCAGATCGCATTTCATATTCTCTAAAATGGATGCAGATTACAAAATTCAGGGTAAGCACTTTTTTACAGTTCCCAGAATTGTGTCTATTTGCATGTTTACATTATGTAATACTTTCATATATATCATCTTCCCT